CAGCTACAAGCCTTTTGCAGGTGGGAACTAAAGCAGAACATAAAATATCTGATTATATATACAGTAAGTAATGACTTAATTTATACAAGTATTGTTAAGATAGTAATTATAATAAAATTCACAGCAAACAAGATTTATAATAACTGTAAATGGGGCTTTCATATACTATGACATGGCCAAACAAAAATCCTGTTACTTTATTATGCCAGTTTCTTGCTATTAAAATAGCCTTTGAATATTGTATAATACTTTGTTTACTGTATACGAAAATGTTTCTACTGTCCTCAGTGACAGTGTCCTGAATATAAATATGTATACCTTCATTTTATGAACACAAGGATTAACTGTTATATAAATATGACCTAATGACCGAAACGCACTTTTATGCAAATCATTAATATTTAATATATTTTTCCTGCTCTGTGCCCATAATTATGGTTAATACAAATTTGATCATTTGATACATGAAATACTGTATATACAGTACTTCTGCTAAGTTGTAACTTTCAAGCGTTCATACCGAAATATCAATACCTCTACCAGAGAAAGAAAATAACTTAGATGTTTCGGCTGGGTCTTTTCAAAGTGTCTTTCACAAACGTGAAGTGTTTGTTGAGCGATTTGATTTCTTAAACTTGCATCTATCTCTCGATCCAGCGTCCTTTGTGACAAGCCTCGCCAACGCTTCGCGAATTTTCGTCGATAAATCGTCGTCTTTTGTTGGATTTCAAAAAATACTGAGATCAAAGTGTTTTCTACTAGTCCCGCAACCACGTATGGAGCAATTTGCACCTGGTATTTGGATATTCTTTCTGTAAAAGACGTTTTTCAAGTACCACAGCCTCCTCTGTAATACAATCTCCTATTACAAATAGATTTTGATGCACCCGTATTGTCACGTGACAGAGAACAATAACATAATTTGGCCACGCCCCCAGCTTCCAAACCCTCTCCTCTTTTAACTATGGTCAGAACCACTCAACAATGTCGTCCCTGTTGTCAGATTGCGATTCATGGCTACTCGATATGGATGCTGGGCTTGTAAATGGAGTTGTATTTCTTGATTTGCGTAAAGCATTTGATAAATTTATGGGGTTCAAAATACTGCCCTAAAGTGGTTTATTTGATATTTATTTGATCGAAAACAGTTTCGCAAGGTAGGAAGTGCAGCATCGTCAACAAAAAACATACGCTGTGGAGTACCACAGGGTTCAAATATCTGTCCATTGTTATTTCGCTTGTATGTCAACGATCTCCCGAACTGTCTAAGATACTCTAGTGCTGAAATGTATCCGGATGATACGAATTTGACGGCGTGTTCCGATGATATTAATACTTTACAAGCCATTTTGAATTCGGACTTGAACAATATCCATCAGTGGATAGTAGCCAATAAATTAACTTTGAATGTTGGTAAAACAGAGTATATGATTATTGGAACACGGCAGAAATTTAAAAATTTCTCAAGTGAAACGAATATGAACATGGGTGGGAAAAACTTAACACAAGTCGTTTCTAAAAAAGTCTTAGGCATAATAATAGATGATCAATTACGCTTGGATGAACAAATAGACAACATAAGTAACAAAGTATCTCAAAGGCATCGTCATGTTACGGCGAGCTAAACAGTTTGTTAAAAGAGAAACGCTCCAATTTCTTTATAATTCTACGGTTCAACCTTATTTTGAGTATTGCTCCCTGGTTTGGGGCAACTGCGGCGAATCCCAGAAGG